CAAAGTGCTGGTTTTAACCTATAAAGCCTTAAGTGGCTCAGGACCGCAATACCTCAAGGACTGCCTCTTTCCATATGGACCTACCTGGACCCTCAGATCAACATCTGAGGCCCTTCTTCATGTGCCCCCTCCTCGAGAGGTCCAGAGGATGGCAACAAGAGAATGGGCCTTCTCTGGAGTGCCTCCCCATCGGTGGAATGGTCTCCCCATGGAAGTTCGCCTGGCACCTTCATTATACACTTTTAGGAGCCATGCAAAAGCATTCCTTTTTAACCAGGCCTTTGGTTGATTTGATTCACATCCTATGGCCTTATAAAATGTGGGGTTTGGGGGGGCAGGGGGGTTAGTGGGTTGTTGTTTTTATTTTGATTATATATTTTGTGATTTTATATTTTGATTTTGTTCTGTGAACTACCCTGAGACTTCCGGGTATAGAGTGGTATATAAAGTCAATAAATCATCATCATAAAATAATTTATATGTAACATTACTATTATTATTATTAGTTGTAGTAGATATAATAATATAATATAATATAATATAATATAATATAATATAATATAATAATATAATATAATATAATATAATAATATAGTATGTATACGAAAATGTTTGCAAACTGGCAGTGAAGGCAGCTCAGATGTAGGCATTTTAATAAAACCATAATATTGGTCTCCTGAGACAGGCTTGGAAAGATTACCCCTGGATTTAGCAGATAATCTAATCATGAATTTGGAGACTCCATGCATCTGAGTCTTTGATGCCTCACAATTTCTCCAAATCATCTCCAAAGATATCATCTTTCCTAATCATAACAGTTGGTAACAGTTGCCATGGCAGCCACTAAACAAGCTCCTAAAAACCATGGCGCTAGAAAGTCCTCTAAAAACGACAGAGCCAAGCTTATTTTTAAAAATATGCAGCCAAAAAGTAAAACGTTACAAGTGCTGGAGAAAAAATGCCACTCTAAACTGCATAACATTATGGGTTTTCTTTTTTCTAATCAAATGTTTACGTATTGGAAATGTACAGGATGCGTGCGTGCAATTTGACAATTATATACATAACATGAAACTGCTTCATATTTATGTGACATTTACTGTGTTCCACTGGGATATTATCCTTATGAGAAATAATTCACGGCAATAAAGAATATGGACAGGCTTTACATTTACTGTGCAGTATGAGCAGAACTCCCAAAATATGAACGTTCCATAACATCCCAACCACAGAAGTCTTATTCTGCCCTCTTCCCCATGAGAGGAACTCTTTTGCAGTTGCAAAACTATTGTGGTTGCCTAATAATTTAAAAGCAGGTCATCCAATCTGGCTAGCCCCATGTCGTACAAACATCTTGATTAGCCTCTTTTACTGAATGATCTGCACGTGTATATTTTGTATAGTTTGTTCATATTACTGGAAGTCTGTCCACAACAAATAGAAGAATCCAGTGATGGACAAAGTATGCCCATATCATTTGCGAAGGCAGAACTGCCTGCTCAAACAAATTGCCATGAGCCAAATAAAGGTAATTCTACTTAAATAATAATAATTATTATAAGCCATATGGTTATAAGTCTGCTTTAAAAATACAGTACAGTCGTGCCTTATGCAAGGGTTCTGTTCCAAGGGTTCTGTGTATATGCAAAAATACTCAAATACTTGGAAAGGAACCACCATGTGAGCGCATCTAGGCTTTGGGAACTGGTGTGCCAGCTCTGAAAATCTCAGATGCTCTCGCGAGATCTCACAGGGTCATTCAAATTCCTGTGAGATCTCATGGAAGCCCCCCAGACCTTGCTTGGGAAGCAAGGCAGAGAGCTTAGAAACTCTTTTTTGTGCCAGGACAATCTGGTACAGAAAGAGCTTGTAGTGGTTAAGAGCAGTAGACTCGTAATCTGGTGAACCGGGTTCACGTCCCCACTCCTCCACATGCAGCTGCTGGGTGACCTTGGGCTAGTCACACTTCTCTGAAGTCTCTCAGCCCCACTCACCTCACAGAGTGTTTGTTGTGGGAGAGGAAGGGAAAGGAGAATGTTAGCCGCTTTGAGACTCCTTCAGGTAGTGATAAAGCGGGATATCAAATCCAAACTCTTCTTCTTCTTCTTTTAATTTCTCAGTCCTGCTTCCCAAGAAAGGTCCTCTCCATGTTGCGGCTCTGCATTTAACTTGTGGGAATTCAACTTTCTCCTTCTTTGGCAAAAACTTGTAGCCGAGTAAAATTGTCTTCCATAAACACGGTCTTAAGTGAGTCCTTAAGTGACTGTGGATGACAATTCTGGATCCACATGTCTTTCCACAGTGGGGACATAGGTTTCCGGGCAGGAGCTGATCACGGTGAGGGTTTGCCAAGCGTGCCTTCCTCTTAGCGCGTTTTCCCCTTTCATCCTGAGTTTGAGCATCTTCAAAACCCATGACACCTTTGATAAAGGCTGTTCTCCAACTGGAGCGCTCGCAGGCCAGTGTTTCCCAGTTGTCTGTGTTTATACTACATTTTTAAAGATTTGCCTTGAGAGAGATTTTAAACCTCTTTTGTTGACCACCAGCATTACGCTTTCCATTTTTAAGTTCAGAATAGAGTAGTTGCTTTGGAAGACGATAATCAGGCATCCAAACAACATGACCAGTCCAATGAAGTTGATGTTGAAGAATCATTGCTTTGACACTAGTGATCTTTGCTTCTTCCAGTACACTGGCATTAGTTCGCCTGTCTTCCCAAGTGGTGTGTAAAAATTTTCGGAGGCACTGTTGGTGGAATAGCAGGCCTTAAACCACATATAGCTGAAATCGCACAAGCTAAGTGTGCAGTCAACAAGATCATACCATAATGGGAAATGCAATTGTAGAAATAATAATGTCTTATTTCTTGTCACTCTGAAAACCAAAGCTAGTTGAGTCCGATAATGATTTTTAAAATCCTGGAACTATGTTTTTGCAGGTAATTCCTCCTTCATGCTCCTCTGTTTAAACAACCACTCACACTACTTGAACACACCATTCAAAGACCATACCTAAACATTTAGAGTTTGTAAACACAAAATTGATCACAGTAGTGCTTCCTGATCTCATCAGCATCTACCCTTATCTCTGAATATTGTGTGAGAAAAGTGTTTTGTTTAAATACAGCTGTGTCAAATATTCTCTTTTTATTTGTGGCATTAAAAAATGAGCTTTCACGAGGTAAATCTCTCTCCCTAGAAACACTTAGACTATACAAATAATCCTGTTTTGCTGGCAACTGTAGGTTCAGCATATTAAGTTTCCCAGTTTCTGCTTTTAACTCCTTCCTGAATTAGTCCCATGCATGATTCTGTCAAATCAGAGTGCTCCAACAATACTGAATGGGATGACATCACATTAAGTAGTCAAATCATGTGGCCATATGATGATGTCACTTAAAGGCACACAAGGGTGACTGAAAATCAGAACATTCTCTCCTAAGGTTTTTGGGATAACCCTCTTACATCTTGCTTAACATGTTTAATGATTCTCCATCTGGTTTTATAGTCTCTGGTTATTTCTGCATTATGTAGATTTTTGAACTTTTTTATTGACAGATTACATTTGGTTCTATTATGTAAATTTCCTGACTGCGATTGTAAGCTGCTCCGAGGACCACTTCTGTGATGGAAAAGTGAGACCAACATGTAAATAAATGAATAACCTCCTGTATTAATCTCACACACACTCCTTTGTTGAGTCCTATCCATTTCCAGGGATAAATTGCTGCTTTGCATTTTTTAAAAAACAACAACAACAACACCAATGCTACTGAATAATTCATAAAAGTAAAAATAGAACAAAATTTCAAACTTTGCATTTGATACAGCATTTATCTTTCTGCAACCATAGAGAGCAGTGAAACTCACCCATATCCATTCTGAATTGGCTGGGCTTAGAAAAACCCAGCCTGGGGAAGCTCGCCTGACTGCCAGTTTCTCTCCCTTTCCCATACTTTCCTAAGTTTACAAGTTGTGATGGAGGGCAACCAAAAGAGCTTTGCAAAAACTGATCTCTCCATCTAAATCTGCACCAATCTGCAGTGAATCTGGGGTGTTGATGCTGTGTACCCCTTCATTGTAGGATCAGGTTGTCTATATCTGTAGATAAATGATATACAGTGGTACCTCAGGTTAAGTGCTTAATTCGTTCCGGAGGTCCGTTCTTAACCTGAAACTGTTCTTAACCTGAAGCACCACTTTAGCTAATGGGGGCTCCTGCTGCCGCTGTGCCGCCGGAGCACAATTTCTGTTCTCATCCTGAAGCAAAGTTCTTAACCTGAAGCACTATTTCTGGGTTAGCGGAGTCTGTAACCTGAAGCGTATGTAACCCAAGGTACCACTGTATATCCTAAAGACACCACAGTCCCTGCTGTGTCTCATTTTTCCAAAAGGAATCACAGACCCTGGGCAACTCCCTGGAATCTCGCACTGCTGTGGACATTGGGGTGGCATGTAACAATAGAATCTGGGACAGCTTAGAAGCAGCCTTTGGTAGTTCAGCTTTCCCCATAGCTGCTTCCCCCCTTCCCCCCCCTTAACTTGGTATGTTTTGGAAAGTATGAGAAAGCTGGAAAGGAGGGAAGCTGCCAGATGAGAGGGCTGGGGCCAAGCATTACAAGCCAAGGTGAAATGTCAAGAGGGGTTGTGCCTGGCTTGTAATGGTTAGGGGATTTCCAAACTGGGCTGAATTCCTTGCTGTTCTCGCCTCACACCCCAATTCCGAAAGCTTTCTCCATCCTTGGATCTGTGTCCTAGAAGATTATCTACAGCTGGCTTTGAATTTACAAATAGCTGCATCAGTCTGAAGGCGGAATTTCAGCGGTGAATTCGGGGTCTTGCTTAAGACTTGGATCCAAAGTCTGTCTCCCTCTCCCTCTCTGCCCCTGCAAGCTGCTTATGAAGGAAAATGAATATTTAAGTAGCTAACAATCCCACGCTTCATCCCTTTGTTACTTGGAATTTGCTTTGAAGTTAAAAGGAATGTTGGCATCATCTTACCAAGTGTTGCTTCTTGCCGTCTGGACTCGCCTTGGAAGTTAACACTCATGTTGGACAGCAATCTGTTGACTCGCTGGTAAGTTTAGATGGAAAACGGACGCTGATGAAAAACCCATCCTTCTCTCCTATGCACAAAAACGGTACAAAAATCACAAGGCACTACATAAGGCCTCAACGCGACCCTTCTCACATTAAGAAAGGTAAAGAATAGAAAGAGCAATAGCAGCAAACAAATAAGCAAAGTTATGAGAGAAGAGGAAATTTCAGAACTACGAATCTGCCTATTCTTCATTACTGTTTCGCAGTTAAAAGTTAACTAGAATAAAAAGAACAAAAACCCTGGGCCTTATCTGCACTATACATTTAAAGCCAGAACACTTTAAACAGCCACGATTTCCCCAAAGCATCCTGGGAATTGTAGTTTGGTAAGGGACGCAGGTGGCGCTGTGGGTTAAACCACAGAGCCTAGGACTTGCTGATCGGAAGGTCGGCGGTTCGAATCCCCGCGACGGGGTGAGCTCCCGTTGCTCAGTCCCTGCTCCTGCCAACTTAGCAGTTTGAAAGCACGTCAAAGTGCAAGTAGATAAATAGGTACTGCTCCAGTGGGAAGGTAAACGGCATTTCCGTGCATTGCTCTGGTTCGCCAGAAGCGGCTTAGTCATGCTGGCCGCATTACCCGGAAGCTGTCCGCTGGCTCCCTCCGCCAATAAAGCGAGATGAGCACCACAACCCCAGAGTTGGTCACGACTGGACCTAATAGTCAGGGGTCCCTTTACCTTTACCTAAGGGTGCCGAGAGTTGACAGGGGAGCCCTATTCTCCTACAGATGAACCAGTAGTGGAAGGACTTTCAGGGTACCTCTGGTGAGATACCAAAGAACTTGAGACTTCCTCATAACAGAGCCCTGGAGATAGTGAACTGTTCCACTTGACCTTAAAAAGCAAACAGTTTTGATAGCGCTTAGTACATTTTTAACTACCAGTTAATAAACGCATTAATAAAATTCTGATCCCAAGCAGAAGTTTATTTCCTAACAATTTAAATGCTAATACTTCATGCCGATATTCAAATATAAAACCTGAAACCATTTAGATGTTAATTAATGCACAACACCCATCCTATTTGTTGGCAATTCTCAGAAAACCTATTCCAATACTCAGGCTGTAATCTTTTTGTGGAGAGGATTCACTACATTAATACATAATCAAATGGTTGAATCCTTGCCTTTAAGGCAAAACTCTCCTGAATATTCATTGTGGGCCTGGGAATAGTGCCTCTATAACAGACAGCATTTTTGTACAGATGAGTGTTCCCTATCAGCTTGCATATGTCTGTGGGAGGACACCCCAATAATTATCTCTCTCATAATGAAATTATTCCAGTACATGTAGCTTGTAAGTTACATAGGCACGTGATTTTGTAACAACCATGAGGCAAAATCTCAGGTGTAAAACTAGCTTTGAAAAGCAAGGACAAGAGCCCAAGTTTTGAAATATTGCACTGAAGTTATTACAATATAAAGCATTCTTAGCCACAGTTGCCTAATCCTTCTGTACACCCACTTACACTGCAGATGTGGGCTAAAACTGGATCATGTGGTTTGCAAAAATTTAACTACCAGTTTGGGGTGTGGGAGGGTATGATTTTAGGCTTCTAAAACCCGTCCTTAGTCACTGTGTGACAGCAGCATTTGAGAAAGCATTGTGTGATAAATGTATTATACGTTACATATTTCCTTAGAATTGTTATGAATCAGTAGCTCATGGAGTGTGTGAGTGTGTGTTTTGAAGCTCACATAATTGTTATCAAGCATCATTATTGAGACTGCAACATGTCATGTCATACATATACAATATTTTTATAAATTAATTTAACATCAGCATTAACAGGCACTAGAACAAAATATTACAAACGCATTACTATCCAAAGAGTTTGTCATGATTAACATTATTACTGCCAATGCTGAAGGAATTAATAATGATTGCATTTATTATAAAGTGATACTGATGTAAGGAGGGAAATGTTTGTCCTAATTAAATTTTGGAAATCACTTTAGGGCTCTTCTAAAATGTGGTTGCTCAGTTTTATAGTAATTAATTCTGTGTGAAAAGTAGCTGGAGGGTTTTTTATGATGTCGATAAGACTATGGTTCACTATAAAGGTGTATTTCTCTCATGGTGATCACTGGGAACTGTTTGACATCTGTTAACCTGTAATGTGTGAGTGTGTAACAGGTGTCCAAATTGTATGAGCTATTTTACTCATATTTCTACTTGAAATTTGAGAGAGAGAGAGAGATGGTTTCTGTCTGTCTTGAGGGACAATGGAATGTCCCTCAAGACATTCAAGACATTTCAATGTGAAATCAAACTGCTGTGTTAGCAAGTTTGGTCAGTGTGTATGGAGGCCCTGGGCTGTTCCGATGACAAGACCCTCACTGATGTGGGCCAAAGGAAAGCAGAGCAATACATTTGATACCAGGTTGGCTGCAGGAGTTGCTGGAAGGAGATGTACAAAGCAACATCCAACAATTTTAGGGACTCTGCTCCAGAATTGGTTAGAGCTAACCCCTTAGTTTTGACCAAACTGCGGGAGGCAGTGGAAGACAGGAGTGCCTGGTATGCTCTGGTCCATGGGGTCACGAAGAGTCGGACATGACTAAACGACTAAACAACAACAACTAAAGAATCATGGCAAGAAAAATTGATGGACTATGCAGAACTGGCAAAACTGACATATAAGCTACAGGACAAGGATAACTGTGACTTTAAGGATGAATGGGAACCCTTTACAAAGTATCTGAAGATGCAGCAAAGCGAACTGGACTCCTTGGCAGGTTTTGAATAAACATTCACAAACCTCTTATTGATAATAATCAGCTAAATAGTTTGAGGATCTATACAACTTTGTAACATGCAGAAAACAGCATTCTTAGGGAAACCAAAGACTGGAACTGAGGGAAGTCGGGGTGTGGGGTGTGGGTGGGTGGGTTTTGTGTGGGAGGGGTGAGGGAGGAAAAATGGGGGGGGACAAGGATGATATGTTTTTGGATAATATGTCTTGTTATAATTTTGAATTAAAAAAAATTAAAACAACAGCAGCAGCAGCAGCAACAACAACAACAACTACCCCTTAGTCTTTTCTTCTCCCAAAGATATCCCACAAGGCACCAGTTAGGATCAGAGCACTGGCGGAGAAAGGGGGGCAGTGGAGGCGGTCTGCCCTGGGTGTCATCTCTGAGGGGGAGTGACATCGCTGTGGGCGGCTCCCCCTGGGATGCTCACCACTGCCGCACCCCCTGGGATGGGCAGGCGGCTAGTCCTGCCCCCCAGTGCACAGCATGTGTGCCACTCCGGGTGACAGGTGCAGCTAGCTCCGCCTCTGGATCAGTTTTCCTTCTTCTAGGTGGGCTACTTTCCCAGGTTGACAAGCCCCATCTGCCCTTCACTTCCCTCTACAGCACATAGGTGGACAATCTACCTCCAAATGGTTTGCCTCAAGAACCAACCTAGACCCAGTGATCATGATCTGAAGCCCTTCTTCATGTGTCTCCTCCACGAGAGGTCTGGAGGGTGGCAACATGAGAATGGCCCTTTTCCACAGCAGCTCCCCAGGGAGGCCCGCCTAGCACCTTCTTTTTGCTCCTTTAGGCACCAGGTGAAATTGTTCCTCTTCAACCAGGCCTTTGACTGATTAACACTCTATGTCCTTTAAAAAAAATTTTTTTGGGGGGGTATTGTTTTGTTTTTGTTTTTATTATGCATTTTGTGCTTTGTTTTGTATTTTCATGCTGTGAACCTCCCTTAGCTCTTCGGATGAAGGGTGATATAAAAATGAAGCAAACAAACAAATAAATAAATAAATACAGTGGTACCTCTGGTTAAGAACTTAATTCATTCCAGAGGTCCGTTCTTAACTTGAAACTGTTCTTAACCTGAGGTACCACTTTAGCTAATTGGGCCTCCTGCTGCCGCCGTGCCGCCGCTGCACGATTTCTGTTCTCATCCTGAAGCAAAGTTCTAAACCCGAGGTACTATTTCTGGGTTAGCGGAGTCTGTAACCTGAAGTGTCTGTAACCTGAAGCATCTGTAACCTGAGTTACCACTGTACATTTTAAAATACCTTGTTTGGCCCTTAGCTGCTCTAGCTGGACAAGGAAGGAGCTGAAGTGCTGAAAGCAAAAGGCACTACAGTAGGGTTGCCATATTTCAAAAAGTGAAAATCCAGAGCTTTTTTTTGCAAAATCTCAAAACTAAACCCCAAAATTCCTCCTGGACACTATTTTTGGCACACCAATCCCGGAAATTCCAGATTTATAGCGGACCTACACTACAGTGTTGACAAGGGCAGAGGCTTCCTATTGACTGCCAAGTCCTGTCTGATCTCCTGAATCTGAAAAGAGTCCTGAAGTTTGAGTCCCCAGTTTGGTCACCAGGCAAATTCTCAATCTCAGGCTGCGATATTTCTGGATGAGACCCTGGAGCCTCTGACATTTAAGGTCAATTAAAGGGAAAATAAATAAATAAATAAAGTGATACGGGTGTGTCTGGAAAAAGTTTGCATTTGTCCATTGTGAACGCAGCAACATGCTATCTCAAGGGAAATACCTCATTTTGCAGCAGAGAGAAATACATTAATTGCTTGGTTGTGGTATTTATACTGCCTTAGTCATAAGTCTTAACTCTCCATTAAACCGTATTTCCCCACACACCCCGAATTGAATAATATATTTAATAAAGACCCTTCAAGAGCCTCCAAGTTAAGGGAAAGTGTTGTCTCCCAGGAAAGGGAGCGAGATGGTAAACAGCTGAATTTCTGGGATACTTTATTACATGCTCGTTTGTCTGTGTGGTGGGCACGTGATGAACCGAAATGACTGGTTTCCCTGCAGAATGTACCACTGGGGATAGCATAATGCATGGAATGGCTCACGGTTTGTGTGTCTGATGGTAAAAATCAATGGTCTTCCTCATTGAAAGGTGCCCTCGGGGGGCAAGAGGCAGTGAATAGCTGATTAGTTTGTGTGCGCATGCTGGCAGATGATAAAGCAGCGCTGAAATCGGTCGTATGCCATAATAAAGTACCCGGCCCCATCTTTAAAGCTAGCGTGGACTTATGTCTCAGG